GATGGGCCTGTAGGTTGGACATCGACTCTTACCCTACGTCACTCTCTTGCTTCCTCCAGGAGTATATGTGCATGATGGGCCTGTAGGTCGGACACTGGCTCACGCCCTATGTCACTGTCTTGCTTCCTCCAGGAGTATATGTGCATGATGGGCCTGCACAGCTGGCTGCACTGGGTTGCTTGGTTCATCATGTTCTTCGTCTCCATCTTCATTGCGGTCTTCCTCATGACAGTGTTCTTCTGCACAAAGGTACACGTCTCACCTTCAGGCTGTGCTGTCCTGTGAAGAGGGGAGAAGGACCCCCAGGCAGGGTGGGGCGAGGTCAGTAGATGACGAAACAGTGACCGGTGACCACACAGAAAGCTGCAGGTGGCCACGAGGTGGTATTTGCTGAAACTTTGGGAAATGAAGTGTTTAAATTTAGGACTGGGGAAGCTTTGCCCTTCCTTCAGTTCCCTGGTTTCTGAGGACTGGGCATGGGTGTGGTTGACTTTGTTAGCAAAGTGGAATGCCAAAAGATGTATTGTACAAACTTTAAAGTGTTACATATTTTATAACCCATAAATAATTGCAAATAGTTATTGTAAAGGACAAGAACGTTCTTTCACGCCCATAGTACCTTACTATTTTTTTCTGTTTTGTTGTCAATGAAATTTGATGCTACGATCTGCTAATATGCATTGAACAGCCATATCATAATCCACTGTATGAATATATAAACCCCCTAAACTACCAAAACGGGCACAGTGTGGACAAAGGGAGGCAGGAAAACCTAACAGAGAGAAGAAGACAGGAAGCATTACAAAGGAAAAACAAAGACACCAAGAGGAATACCAGGACTGTCTGTGACAGAAGCAATTAACAGTGGGATAAATGCATTGCATGAAAGAAGAAAATATTCGTGTTGGATCCACAAATTAAACCCAAAGATATGTCTCCACAAACAGTAGAGCGCTCCCTTCACAAAGCTGAAAACAGAGCTACCATGTTGTGGTTAGGTGCATTTGAGGTGACTCCGACTCACAGTGACCCTGTGTACAGCAGAACTACCAGTGTGACCCAGCGGTTCCACTCCTTGGTAGATAGCCAAAAACTGGAAAGCAGAGGCTCAAAAAAGACTTGTCCACCAGTGCTCACTGCAGTGCTCTTCCCGATAGCCAGGAGGCGGGAACCACCTAATCAATCGCCCATCCAACAGATGGTGAGTGAACAAAAGGTGGTACATACTCACAATGGATTAGTGTTCAACCAGCAGGAGAAATGGAGTCCTGATACACGCTGCAGTGTGGGGGAGCTCACCGACACGACGCTGAGTGATACAGGTCAGTCACAAAAGGACAAGTACCGTATGACCTCACTGACACCAGACAAGGACAGGCTACTGTGTAGAGACTGAAGTTTGTCAGTGGTTACCAGGGGCAGCAGGAGGGGCTGGGGGACTGTTGCTTATGGAGCACTGAGTTGATTTGCAAGGATGGAAAAATCCCATTGATTAGGGGTAGGGTTACAAGGGTGATGGCGTATTCGCTGTCAGTAAGTTGTACACCTGTGAAAAGTTAAATTGACAAAAGCTGTGGGGCAGATCATGACCCCAAAACAGCAGCAGCAGCAGCGGAGGCTGCTCGTGTACAACCAAATGCCGCGTGGGTTTGACTCTGTTGGTCATGAGTATGTGGGCATCCCCGTTAACTGAGCAACCATCGCTTTAATGCTTCTGCCCCACCTCTTAGTTCCTTGCTGAGTGCCTGGGGTCTTAAACCCTTGCAAGCAGCCATCCAGGCAGGACAATGGGTATCTGTTTGCCTGGAGCAACAGAGGAAGAAAGAGAGTCAGGAACGGGAGGGAGAAGTGGAATGTGTGGCTGATTGCCTCCATGAACAGTTGCCCCCTTTGCCATGAGACCAGAAGGGGATGCTGCCCGGCTACCACTTCTGAACATTTTGATCAAAGATTCCACAGAAGAATCCTGATCAAAAGGAGGAAAAGCAGTACAGATTTTTAAATTCTGTGGACTCCAGGCTTTCTGCAGCCCTGCAGATGGGATGAACCCTGAAATTACTGCCCTGACATAATCTTTAAACCTCAAATCAAGTGCCCTGATCTTGAAACCAAACACTAGTTCAGCTTCACTATAAAGGACGTGTGCCTTGAGTACTGGGCTCGTTTACGATCCATCTGTGTGGGGTCCAGTTGACAACAGCAACTCTGAAGATGAGGTAGGAAGCTTAGGGGGCAGTGAGTTGATGTTAATGGGAGAGGAGCCACTCTGAAAAGGAGGGTGAGAATGGTTGCAACTCAAGGAATGGCATCAGTGCGCTGACTTGTATGTGGAGGAATGGTTGACTTGGTGTGTGTTCTGCTGTGAATAGTGTCAACAACAACAAAACAAAAAATAAATTACAAAAAATAAAAAGATACATGTTGTTGTTAGGTGCCGTCAAGTTGTCTCCAACTCATAGTGACCTTGTGTACGACAGAACAAAACACTGCCCGGTTCTGTGCCAGCCTCATGATCCCTACTGTATCTGAGCCCATCACTGCAGCCACCGTGTCAGTCCATCTCGTTGAGGGCCTTCCCCTCTTTCGTTGACCCTCCACTTTACCAACCATGATCTCCTTCTCCAGAGAATGGTCCCTTCCCATAACATGACCAAAGTAGGTGAGACCAAGTCTGGCCGTTCTCGCTTCCAAGGAGCATTCCAGCTGCACTTCTTCCAGGACAGATTTGTTAGTTCTTTTAGCAGTCCACAGTACCTTCAGCATTCTTCACCAACACCACAACTCAAAAGCATCAACTCTTCTTCAGTCTTCCTTATTCATTGTCCAGCTCTCACATGCATATGAGGCAATTGAGAATACCGTGGCTTGGGTCAGGCACACCTTAGTCTTCAAGGAGAGATCTTTGCTTTTCAGCACTTGAAAGAGGTCTTTTGCCACAAATTTGCCCAGTGCAATGTCTTTTGATATCTTGACTGCTGCTGCCATTGGTGTTGATTGTAGGACCAAGTAATATGACGTCTTTGACAAGTTTAATCTTTTTTCCATTCATTGTGATGCTGCTTATTGGTCCAGTTGTGAGGATTTTTGTTTTCTTTATATTGAGGTGCAATCCATACTGCAGACTGTAGTCTTTAATCTTCATCAGTAAGTGTTCCAAGTCATCCTCACTTTCAGCAAGCTAAGTTGTGTGGTCTGCGTATCTCAGGTTGTTAATGAGCCTTTCTCCAGTCCTAATGCCATATTCTTCTTCATATAGTCCAGCTTCTTGGATTATTTGCTCAGCATATAGACTGAATAAATATGGTGAAAGGATACAACCCTGACACATTCCCTTCCTGATTTTAAACCATGCAGTATCCTTTTGTTCTGTTCAAACGACAGCCTCCTGGTCTATGTACAGATTCCTCATGAGTACAATGAAGTGTTCTGGAATCCCCATTCTTCTCAGCGTTATCCACAATTCGTTATGATCCACGTAACCAAATGCCCTTGCATAGTCAATAAAACACAAATAAACGTCTTTCAGGTATTCTTTGCCTTGAGCCAAGATCCATCTGACATCAGCAGTAACATCCCTCATTCCACGTCCCCTTCTGAATCCAGCTTGCATTTCTGGAAGGTCTCTGTCAGTATACTGCTGCAACTGTTTTTGAATTATCTTCAATAAGAATTTACTTGCATGTGATATCAATAATATTGTTTGATTAATTTCCACATTCTGTGGGATCACCTTTCTTTTGAATGGGTGCAAATATGGATCTTTTCCAGTCAGTTGGCCAGGTAGTTGTCTTCCAAATCTCTTGACATAGCTGAGTGAGTGCCTCCAGTGTAGCATCCGTTTGTTCACACAGCTCAATGGGTATTCTATCAATTCCTGGAGGCTTGTTTTTCTCTACATCCCTCACTGCAGCTTCGACTTCTTCCTTCAATACCATTGGTTCTTGATTATATGCCCCCTCCTGAAATAAATGATCATCTACCATTTCTTTTTGGTACAGTGACTGTGTATTCCATCCATCTTCTTTTGATTTTCTTGCATCATTCAACATATTGCCCATGGAATCTTTCAGTATTGCAATTCGAGGCTAAACTTTCTTTCTTCAGTTCTTTCAGCTTGAGAAATGCCAAGTGTGTTCTTCCCTTTTGGTTTTCCAACTCCAGGTCTTTGCACATTTCATTATAATAATTCACTTCGTCTTCTTGAGCTGCCCTTTGAAATCTCTTTTATCCTGTCGTTTCTTCCATTTGCTTTAGCTGCTCTCCATTCAAGGACAAGTTTCAGACTCTTCTGACACTGATTTTGGTCTTTTCTTCCTTTCCTGTTTTTTTGATGACTGTGATACCTGGAGCTGTGTGTCAACTTGGCTGGACCACAATTATGAGTGGTTTAAGCAGTTGTGATGTGGTTATTCCCATGATGAGATTGGATGTATATGTTTTCAGCAACCAACTGGTTGAAAGGAAGTTTCCTTAGGGATGTGGCCTGTTTCCCATATATATGGACATCCTGGGAAAATGAGACCCTGTTGTGCTGCCTACAACTGTCTGTGAGTGAACAATCCACGATTTGGCCTGGTGATCTTGGATTCATCATTCGTCAGAGTCAACAGCCAGTATACTGCCTGCCAACCTTAAGCTCGTCAACCCCTGCAGCTGTGTGTCAGGAAAAGCTTCCAGGAGCTTGACATTTGATCCAAGAACTTGGAACTTGCCAGCTTCTGTAAGTGTGTGAGCCATTTTCCTAAGATACATTTCTCTTTCTCTCTATGTATATAAGCTTTACTGGTTTTGCTTCTCTAGAGAACCTGGCCTAACACATTTGGTACACATTTTGTTCTAGAGAGACAAAATCATAAGGATAAACTAAAAAAAAAAAAAAAAAACCTCACTGCTGCCGAGTCAATTTTGACTCATAGAAACCCCTCCTTGGGTTTCTGAGGCAGTATCTCTACAGAAGTACATTGCCCGCTCTTCCTTTCAAGGAATTAGTAAAGAGGGCTCTGCTAATCTGTGGTGTGAAATGGCAACTTAATATGAAAAATAGCACGACCAATAGATCAGGTACTTTTGAGAAGTGAGGCTCTGGGTGATTGCATATTTGATACTTTTCTGCAGTTTTGTCAGCATGAGGAGTATAAGGAAGCTGGTTGGTTGGTCCTACTTATGCTAGACAAAGTGGTGAGAGAGGAGATGAGTTCAGGGCTGCTGAGTCATGGCTCAAGCACTGTGTGAAAGACCTCAATGTTTCCAGTTGTGCCCTGAAAGAAAGCCTTATTTCTTCTAGCAACAGAGCTGATATTGCCAAAAACCAAACCTAGAATCTTACTGTAAGGCTGGCGTGGCTGAATTACAATGTCAGTTGAATCGCCAACCCAGAATGGTGTCTGAAGTTAAAGTGAGGGCATTGATTGGGAAAGAATGGGATCCTGAAACTTGGGATGGGGACATATGGTCAGATAGTCAGGAAGATAAGGATATAGAGCTTGTAAATTCTGTTGAATCCTTCCTGCCAACAGCACTATCTTTCACATCTGAAGGGATTACTGTAAAACCATTATCCCTTCCATCTCTCCTGGATGGGATTAACCCAGCTGTTCCTGCTGGGTCATTACCTGAGGTAGATGCCATGGAAGACGTTGCTGAATGTTCTCAGGAACTGCCCCGACCACCCATTGTTGCTGCTAGACCTATAATTAAACTTAAGTCCAAGCGAGCCCCAAAAGGTGAAATACAAAGTGTGACTGAGGAAGTGGTATGCTACACCTGAAAAGACCTACTTGATTTTCCTAACATGTACAGACAGAAACCTGGAGAATATGTGTGAAAATGCCACTGAAGGTGTGGGATAATGGTGCAAGGAATGTAACATTGGATTGGTCTGAGTTTATTGATTTAGGCTCACTAAGTATGGATTCTTCATTCAGTGTTTCAGGTCAAGAGATCAGGAAAGGATCTAATTGTTTATTTGGTTGGCTTACTGAAGCATGGATTATGCTGTGGCCTATCTTAAGTCAAGTTGAAGTACCAGACCTGGCTTGGTATAATGTAGAAGAAAGTATCTATAGGCTTAGGGAAATTGGCCTGTTAGAATGGATTTATCAGATTGGACCCCTAGACCCAGAAATAGAGAGCCCAGAGAACACACCTTTCACCAGTACGGTGAGTAACAAATTTGTGAAGGGAGCCCAGCATCCTTGAAGACTGTTGTGATTGCTATTTTATGTAAGCTGGATTGGATAGTGGGAACTGCCCTAATTGAACTAAGACACTTAACTACGATGGGGCTGAATGGACCCCGTGGTAATAGGGGCCAAGTGGCAGTAGTTAATCAACAAAGACAAGGTGGGCATGGTTAACATAATGGACAGCAGAATCAAAATAGTAATCAGAATACTCTGACATGTGGAATTATGGCATTGGCTACTTAGACATGGTGTCCCTAGGAGTGAAATACATGGTGGTGGCAGGGATGGAGGTTATGCACGGGAACAGCAACATGGACTTCCATTTACTGAGGCTGATTTGGGTACCAACACTGCTGAGTGCCCAATCTGACAGCAGCAGAGACCAACACTGAGTCCATGATATGGAACCATTCCTCGGGGTGATCAGCTGGCAATTTGGTGGCAAGTTGATTTCATCGGACCACTTCCATCATGGAAAGGACAGCGTTTTGTTCTTGGTGAAATAGATGCTTATTCTGGATATGGATTCACCTTCCCTGCAAGTAATGGTTCTGCCAAAACTACCATCCGTGGACTTACAGAATGCCTTATCCACTGTCATGGTATCCCATGAATATGGCTTCGGATCAGGGACTCACTTCACAGCAAATGAAGTGTGATGTGCTATGCTCATGGAATTCACTGGTCTTACCACGTTCCCCGTCATCCTGAAGCAGCTTGATAGAACGATGGAATGGCCCACTAAAAACACAATTATGGTGCCAGCTAGGTGGCAATACCTTGGAAGGTTGGGGTAATGTTCTCCAGGAGGCTGTATATGCTTTAAACCAGATAGGGTGCTGTTTCTCCAGTAGCCAGGATTTACAGACCCAAGGAAGTGGAAATGGGAGTGGTACCCACTCATTCTTAGCCCTAGTGACCCACTCAAAAAATTTTTGCTTCCTGTCCCTGCTGCCCTATGCTCTGTGTGTCTGGAGATTTTAGTCCCAAAGGAAGGAACACTCCCACCTGGAGACACAATACTGATTCCATTGAACTAAAAGTTAAGAATGCCACCCAGCCATTTTGGCTTCCTCATGCCTCTGGATCAACAGGCATAGAAGTGCTTTCTGGTATGATAGTTCCTGATTACCAGGGGGAAACTGGATTGACATTACATAATGGAGATAAAGAAGAATATGTCTGGAATACAGGAGATTCTTTAGGACATCTCTTAGTACTACCGTGCTTTGTGATTAAACTCAATGGAAAACTACAGCAACTGAATTCTGATATGACTACTAATAGCCCAGACCCTTCAGGAGTGAAGGTTTGTGTCACCCCACCAGGCAAAGAACCACAACCAGCTGAGGTGCTTGCTGAGGGCAAGGGAAATACAGAATGGGTGGTGGAAGAAGGTAGTTCTGAATATCAGCTACAACCACGTGACCAGTTGCAGAAATGAGGACTGTGATTATTATATTTCTTTATTGTATATGTGCATCAAATATTTTTGTTTCCTTCTGTTATGAACTATGAAATATAAACAGGGTTAATGGTTTTTGGTTGTACACATTGCTGGGTCAAAGATCTGTCTTAAAAATGGTACATATGTTGTTTATTTTTAGGATAACCTTGAGTTTTACACTTTCTGTGTTGCTGTAAGGGGATGTAATGCTCTCTCCTCGTCTTTTCCATGTAAAAGAAACATTTTGGCTGAGCTAAATCAGCCTCAGTAAATGGAAGTCCATGTTACTGTTCCCCCGTCTGTCCCTGTTTGGCAGATGCCTGATGTTGCCGTGTTCAACAGTAGTGACCCGAGTCTGATCTTCATGTTCCTCATGTGCTTTGCCATTGCCACACTGTTCTTTGCTTTCATGGCCAGCACATTCTTCACCAAAGGTGAGTCCTGAGCCCGTCACTGTCGGCGTGGCTTGATAACTTATTTTCCTGTGCCGTGGCTCTTCCCATTTTATTACGCCCTCGGAGCTGCTATTCACTTTTGTGGTTATTTTAACAGCAAAAGAATTGTACTCGCCATTAAGTCCTGTTGAAACATCTCAAGATATGTGTGTTTCTGGGGTGCTTTTGCCTTCCAAATGTCATTTTAATGGAGACAAGTGGTGAGTCTCAATTGGGAAGAAAAGGGCAGAGCAAGGTATCCAGGACAAACGGTTCTCCAGGTCTTTATTGTGAAGTTGAGTAAAACAGGTTGGCTTCCAGGATGCCAGACTGAGAGAGGAACTCCTTGGGATTTGGTCCTGTCAGGAGGGGTGTTACTCTGAGGCTGTTGGCAGAATTCATTAACCACAAGGGGTAAAAACAACAGTTGAGAAGTCAGGGTGCAGGAGAATTAAATTTTGAGTTAGCCTAGAGAGGCATAGGTCTAAACACTGATGGAGGACGGGTCTATTGCTTGGCGACAGAAAGAGGCTTAAAGAGAACTGGGACAGAATCACCACGTGGTGGAAGTGAAGCCAGCCAGGCAGGTGATTGTTGACAGGTGAGTGTTTGCATCCAGTAGCAGTTCAAGCAAATAGTGACTCTGCTGAGATGACCGTGACTGTTTGGGAGGTTGAAGGGGCCAGGACACCAACTCCTGATTTAAACACTATATCTAATTTCCCACCCACCCCTGTAGTGTTAGGGTACACGTGGCGGGAGTGGTAGTCAGAGGGTTACATGAGGAACTTGAAGCATGAGCATCAGAGGAAGCCTGCAGCCTAAGACTAAGGAAGCTGAAGATGGAAGCCTGAAAAGGCTGAGCTCGGGGTCAAGTACAGGAAACAACAAAGGACTGGAACAAGAGGCAAGACCAGAAAGATGAGCCGCATGATAAATCAGGACCAGACTAGTAAGAAAGTGTGCCAAGTGAAGCGAGCACGTACCAGGCACCCTGACGTGTGATGATTAACTTTCAACAAAGGGGCCAAGATGATTCAATGAGAAAACGATAAACTTTTTTGACAGTTGGTGCTAGACAATTAGGTAGCCACAAACAACACAGAAGAGTGAAGTTTTACCCCTACCTCACATCATACACAAAGTGACTCAAAACCAGTCACAGACCTACATGTAAGAGCTGAAACAGTAAAACTCTTAAAAGAAAACACAGGAATACGCTTTCATGATCTTGAGTTAGACAAAGATTTCTTAGCTATGACTCCAAGAGCACAAATAGAGGAGAAGATTGATACATGTATTTGTCAACAGGCAAATGGATAAACTCTGGTAATAGTAGTATAATGGGATTATTGGTGTTAGGTGTTGGCTTTGAGTCCGAACAACCCTGTGTGGAACAGAACGAAGCACTGCCCAGCCCTGCGCCCTCACAGCTGTTGCCACCCCTGAGTCCATCATTGCGAGGATGGGTCATTCCATCTTGTTGAGGGTCTTCCGCGTTTTCGCTGACGCTCAACTTTATGTAGCATCATCTCCTTCTTGTGGGACTGGTCCTTTTGACAACATAACCAAAGTGTGTGAGATGAAGTTTGGCCATTCTCATTTCTAAGGAGCATTCCAGCTGTACTTCCTCCAAGACAAATATGTGTGTTCTTCTGTCAGTCCCTAGTACATTCAGTGTTCTTTGCCAACACCACAGTGCAAATGCATCAATTCTTGTCCAGTCTGTCTTGTTCATTGTCCTGCTCTCACATGCATGTGAGGCTTTTGAAGATACCATGGCATGGGTCAGGTACACCTTAGTCTTCAAAGTAACATCTTTGCTCTTGAGGAAAAAAAAAAAAAAAGAGGTCTTCTACAGTGGATTTGCCCGATGGCAATCCATTGTGTGATTTCTGCAATCTTTTCTCTGTTTATCATGATGTTGCTTATTGGTCTAGTTGTGAGGATCTTTGTTTTATGTTGATGCGTGATCCACATATAAGATTGAAGTTGTCAGGGATATCATTTTACTTGGATCCATAATCAATGCTGCTGGAAGCAGAAGTCAAGAAATCAGATGATATATTGCACTGGGAATATCTGCTGAAGTGTTACCTTGAAGGCTAAGGTGCAGCTGACCCAAGCCATGGTATTTCAGTCACCTCACATGCAAGTGAAAGCTGGACAAGGAATAAGGAAGACCGAAGAAGAACTGATGCTTTTGAGTTGTGGTGTTGGCAGAGAACACTGAAAGTGCCATGGACTGTCAGAAGATCTAACAGATCTGCCCTGGAGAAGTGCAGCCAGAATGCTCCTTAGAAGTGAGAATGGCCAGACTTCATCTTAGGTGCTTTGGAGGTGCTACTAGAAGGGACCAGTCCCTGAAGAAGGATATCATGCTTGGTAAAGGAGGGGGTCAGCAAAAAAGGGGAAGACCCTCAACAAGATGGACTGACACAGTGGTTGCAATGATGGATTCAGGCAGAGCAGGGACTGTGAGGGTGGTGCAGGACAGGGCAGGGTTTAGTTCTGTTCTGCATGGGGTTGCTATGAGTCTGAGCTGACTTGATGGCACCTAACAACAACAACATCCCTTTCCCCTAGGAACCCTGGTGGTGCAGTAGTTAAAGCACTTGGCTGCTAACCAAAGGTTTGGTGGTTTGAACTTAGCAGCCGCTTCATGATAGAAAGTTGCAGCAGTGTGCTTCTGTAAAGTTGATGGCAGTGAGTTTGTTTTTTGGGTATCCCTTTCCCTGTCCCTAATAACCACTAATCTACATTTTCTGTGTATGAGTTTGACTGTTCTAGACATTCTGTAAGAGTGGAATCACATAACACCATCCCTTTGTGTCTTGCTTCCTTCACTTAGTTAGCATCGCCTCCCCTGTTCATTCATGTCATAGCATCAGAGCTTTGTCTTTCTTTATGGTTGGACACTATTCCATTGTGTGGATGGACACTTAAGGCTGTTCCCCCTGTGGCTGTTATGAACAGTGCTGCAAGGAACATTGGGGTCCCTGTGTTTGCTGAGTCCCTGCTGTCGACTCTTTTGGGTTGATGCCTAGGAGTGGAATTGCTGAGTTGGGTAGAGGGTGAACGAAAAAGAAGATGACCCTTAACTAGGTGGATTGACTTGGTGCCTGCAGCAGTGGTCCCAGACACACCTGCTATTGTGGAGGTGACTCAGGACCAGGCAGCGGTTCGCTGTGTTACACGTGGGGTTGCTGTGAGTTGGAACTGACTCAGAAGCACCACACAACAACATGGAAATTCTGTTTAACTGAAGATTTGCCAAACCGTTTGCCCCAGCAGCTTCACTATTTTATGACTCACCAGCAGTGCACGAGGGTTCCCGTCTCTCTGCTTCCTCACCAACAGTTGGCGTGTTTCCTTCTCTTCATAACTGTCTCAGTGAATGGGAAGTGATAGCTCCCTGTGGCTTTGATTTGCATGTCTCTGGGGACTAATCCTGCTGAGCACTTTGCCATGTACTTAATCGGCTGTGAGAGTTGGAGCTTGTGTGTCAACTTGCCTGGACCACAATTCTGTGTGGTTTAAGCAGTTGTGATGTGGTTATTCCCATAATGGGATCAGATGACTATGTTTTGAGCAGCCAATCTGTTGAAAGGGACTTTTCCTAGGGGTGTGGCCTGCTTCTAGTATATTTATGGGCATTGCAAAAAGGGCAGGGAGGCCATATATTCTGACCTCCTAGAACCCCACAAGAGGAAGGCAGAATCACCATCAATAGCCCAAGGCCTATTCCTGCAAGGCCAGACATGCTGCCTCCCTCCAGCCCTTTCTCCAACTGTTCCTCCCAAAGCACCCACCACCTTTCTCCTGGGTTCGATAATTCGCTGAAGTGGCCACACAGAGCTCACAGATTATGGAGTTTATTGGGGAAGCACCAGGCTACATTTCAAGTTCAGGAAAAACGCTCAGTCTCTCTCCCAGCCCACCATCTCTCAGCCATGTCTCTCACAGTCTCTCCCCCAGCAGTACATGTCTCTTGGTGTCTTACTCAGCAACGTGTGTCTCTTGCATCTCTTTCCCAGCAGCACATGTCTCTTTCACTAGCACATGTCTCTTTCAGCAGCACGTCTTCCTCAGCCAGCAGTCAGAGAGAGAGTTCTGCCTCTAGGAGGTCTCTTTTTGAGCCCGGCAGAGTGGCCAAACCAACCAATCATAACATCAGAATCCATAACACCTAAGAGAGAGTGGAAACCTCCCAGAACATTGTTTTGTGCCACTCCCAACAGATCTACTCCAGGTGGACAACTTGAGCAATCAGGAGCTCCTGGGAAAAGAGACATTCTTCTGTGGATCGGAATTCCGTTATGCTACCTACAACTGTCCATGAGTGAACAATCCACCATTCAGCCTAGAGATCTTGGATTCATCATTCGTTGGAGTCAGCAGCCAGTATACTGCCTGCCAACCTTGAGCTCCTCAGCCCCTGCAGCTGCAGGAGTCAGGAAAAGCCTCCAGCTTGACATTTGATCCAAGAACTTGGGACTTGCCATCTTATATAAGTGTGTGAGCCATTTTCCCAAGATAAATTTCTCTCTATATATAAGCTTTACTGGTTTTGTTTCTCTAGAGAACCCATTCTAACACATTTGGTACTGAGAATGGTTCTAAAGAGACAAAAATCATAAGGATGGGCTTCCTAAATTGGTTCTCCAATTTGATTAATTGTAAAGACACTAGTGACCCGGCCTCTGTTAGTAAAGAGGGCCCTGTTAATCCGTGGCGTAAGGTGGCAACATTAATATGCAAAATAGCACCACCAATAGATCAAGTACTTGTGAGAAGTGAGGCTCTGAGTGATCGCATAATTGATACTTTTCTGCAATTTTGTCAGCATGAGGAGTATAAGGAAACTGGTTGGTTGGTTTCTAAAGAGTATAAAGAAACTTCTAAGGAGTATAAAGAAACTGGTTGGTTTCTTTCACCACTACACAAAGTGGTGAAAGAGCAAGATGAGCTCAGAGCTGCTGAATCTCGGCTTAAGTGCC